GTCAAACAAATGACTATATCTCCGCAAGTATTGCATTGGCAAATGTAACACCTCACCAATGTTCATTGGGGGATATGTGTGCATGTTCACACAAAATTTCATCAAAAACTGTGATGGTTGAGCAGGGACCCCACACCTTGTCATGGAATGACCCTATAAGTTCTAGTCCTGCCTTAAGTACAAAGCCAGCTGAGTAACCTTGGACCGGTCACTCTCTCTCTGCCCTAGAAAAGAGCAATGGCATTTTTGAAATCTTGCTAAGAAAACTTGTCCAGACACTCACCTGGAGTCAGCACTGATTGGATGGTACACACATAAAAAAAAACACCTCACAACCCTCAAATAACAGCTCAAGCACTGCCAGTATATTAAAAGTATTGTCCTTTTTGTTGGCTAAACCTCTCAATGGCCCTCAAATATAAAAGATCCTGCACAGGAACATTTTAATGAAGTTCTTATACTTGTATGTAAAGCAGCCAAAATTAAAGATGAAAATGGTGCAATAAAGAAATGAAGATCTTACTGCCTAAAACAGGGGTCCCCAACCTTTCGGACCTCAGGGACCACTAAATTCATAATTTCTAAATCCCGCAGACCACTAAGAATCCAGCATACTGCTGGCTGAAGCGCCTGGACTCCCAGTGAAGGGATAGGGTCCTTCCTGCACTTAGCTTGGCCGCCTGTTTCTGCAACCTCAAAGAACCATTTGGACCAGTTTTCCAAGAAAACAAAACACCAGGATCTCTCAGCTCTCTCTCATCTCTTTCTTTTTTTCTCTCTCATCTCTCTTTCTCTCCCTTTCTCATCTCTCTCTCTCTCTCCCCTTTCTCTCTTTTATCTCTTTCTTCTCTCTCACCTCTCCCTCTCACCTCTTTCTCTCTCCTCTCTTTCTCTCATCTCTCTTTCTCTCTCATCTTTCTTTCTCTCTCTCTCTCTCATCTCTCTCAGCCGGGCCAGACAGTATTTGGGGGCAGAGAGGAAGTTGCGCATCTCCCAGTCACGCAGCACCAAAAAGGGCCAAAAGAAACACCCGTGAGACCCAGCAAGAGATGAAGCTTTGCTCTCGCTCTGGAATATGGAGAAAATCTCCCTCCCCTGCCCTTCCCTTCTCAGGTGAGGAGAGAGTGGGTGAGGGCTGGGGCCAACCAGTGGTGGATTCAGCCAACAGGGAGCCACAGCAGGGGGAAGGAAGAGCCACGGGTTGCAGACAGCTGTTGCTTCGGACTGCCTGCGCTGCTACCCTCATACCCTTCCCCCTTGCATTAACAGCACCATTACCTCATTCCAGCCAGCAAGGGCTTCACTACTCCTTGTACCTCCTGCAGAGTTGCAAGTTCCAGAGCCCTACTCACAGGACTGGCCCATCCCAGAGTAGCTGTTCCATCCGAGTGCATCATGGACCACCAAAATTTTCTTGTGGACCACCAGTTGTGGACCTCTGGCCTAAAGGAAGCATCACTAAGAGAGCTACTTTGATTTTGAAGGTGCTGAATGTCAGTAAATAATCCTTGAGCATCATAGTTTTCAAGGTCTGTGTCTTTTCTGGTCATAGATTTTGAATGGGATTCTGAAGTTCCTATGGGTATTCCCATAAATGAACAAAAATATAATTGATATGCTGATGATTTACAGATAGTTCAATTCCTTCAGTCAATAATTCAAATTTTACCTCTAAATAATAAAACCAACAGTTTCCAGAACTCTCTGAATTATTGATGTGGTGTAATATTTCACATAATTATGCAAATAGCATGCAATACTTCAAATTTCTTAAAATTAAAAGTTTTACTATATTGTATTATGATAGTTTAATTACAGTTAAATAAAACAGATAAATATTCATTGAATCCTCACTTTTTCAGTGCATAAACTTGGTAATACTCAGTCAAGCACTTAGTACCTTAACCTTTTTTTATTGTTTTAGAAATCATTTACTGAATTTAGAAATCAAGAAGTTGATTTGGTCCATCTCTGCTACCTACAGTAACATCATCGGTGCCCATGGTTTCAGAATTATCTGCAAGGAAGACTATACAGGGACCTAGATTGTCAGGTTAATAAAGGAAGACTACAGATTGGTAGATTGACACTACAGAGCTTGGGTCAGAAAAGGAAACATTCAAACTGAGACTTTGAAGGATGATACAAATATGAAAAAATATTTAGTTTTGTTCAAAAGAAGAGGAAAAGAACCATATACCAGCTATTCAATGAAGCAAAGGAAAGATAAATCTACTCATATTTGATTCACTCATTTCTAACAAAAAGTATGTAAAATGTGAATATTAGAAAACTATGAAGATGAATATAAAGAAATAGAGATGTGATCACATGACTCTAATTGGAGTTCTCAACTTGCAATTATGAGATTGCAGCTATTTGATCCCAATTTCCGATATTCCATGCCAGCTTCCCACAAGCAATGTCAATGTGGAAGCAGCAGGAAGTCAGGATCACAACATTCTCACTTAACAATCCAAACAGTCCTTAACAACGGTAATCAGGGCTGCTGTGATTGTTGCTAAGCAAAATGGCCATTTGACATTATGAGAGCATCGCTTAGCAAGAGTAATTCAGAGTAATTCCAATCCAAATTGCCACTGTAACCCAAGGACCATCTACATGTATTCAACCTGCTACAGCAAGAATGAATATAATATCATAACAACTTATGACATTAAGTTGAGTCATCTTGGCTACTGATTTATATTTGCTTGACTAAAAGTAGAAAAATGACGAATAATTAAAAGAGGATAAAAATCAGATTCTTGAGAGGTAGAAACTCTTGCCAACGTATTCCTACATGATCCTTAAATGATATCCCAATTCACAATCATTTCTCTTATTTGCTCTCCACAATTGTTTCCAGATTTGAGGGTGACACATTTTATGTTCTTTATTTTTTAAGGGATATTAACTCTTCACTCATATTCTGGGTTTCAAAATACCTTTATTAAGCCATACAAATGTGCGAAGTTTGACATAGCTTGCTGTTCTACTGTTGCATAGTTTTTGGGATAATGGATTTTCTATAGCAATTTATCTCCTTTTATTTGTAACGGATGTTAAAGTCTATACAGGTAATCCTCAACTTAAGACTCCAACTGGGAACAGAATTTCCATTGCTAAGCAAGATGGTTATTAAATAATTGCACCTAATTTTATGACCTTTTTGCCATGATTGTTCAGCAAATCACTGCAGCCAGCTGGGAAGGCACAAATGATCCCTGGACACTGCAACCATTTTAAATAGATGCAGGTTCCCAAGCTCCCAAATTTTGTGCTGGTGACAATGGGGTTGTTGTGATAGTTGCAAGTTTGAGGACCAGTCATAGCTCACTTTTTTCAGTGCTGTTGGAACTTCAAGGATTAGTAAACAAATGGTTTTAAATTGAGGACTACCTGTAAATAGTTCAGTTTCAAGGGTATATGTGAAAGGTAGAATCAACAACTGAATTTTTAGCACAGATAATGTAAGGGAAATGAATGCAACAGGTTTCTACTTATTAGGCTTCTCTCTTCATTTGAAGTTTTATTCACGGTAATATTTTTATACAATTGTTTTTACTAGCAATGTTATCTTGAATTACTCTGTTTATTATTGCCTTTTGAAATGGAAATTCATTTGTTTCCTTTAGGTGGAAATTGTTCCAACAATACAAATTGAATGAAATTTGAGGAATAGGAAATTCTACTAAGAATTTATTCTATTACAGTAATCTCAAATATCGCAGATACTCTGCACACTAAAAAAGCCCACATACCTTTTGTTACTATTTTCTAGCTTTTTAGACTATGAATGTGCAATGTTTGCTATATATCTGCCTACCTTGATCCTGTCCATTCCTGCAGCTGATGAAGTAGTGTTTATATTATATTTATCCACTAGCCTAGTGGTGCTACTTTGTTCTTTAACTAATTTTTACAAAATGTTAATATAGCATATCACATTATTAAAGCCAAAGATTAAAATAAATTTTCCCAGAAAAAAAAGAACATTTGAGCTCAATTAATTTTACCATACTATATTATGAATGCTAAGGTTTTTTTATTAGTGCAAAAACTACAACAATAATACATAGCAATCTTTAGCACAAGCTAGCAATTCTTTGAAAGTACATTAATTAAAATAATTGTAAAGGTTTTCAACCAGTTTTTAGAAGAAGTTGCGGTATTTCTTTTTCTAGCAGGCGGAATTCTTGCTGATTTCAAACAAACAATTTGACTTGCATCTATTTTTGACTAAAGTTGCATAAATTCCACGTCTACCGTCTCCCTTTCCACGTCTACCGTTGTAATTAACAGCAAGCTTTTGCTTTCTCTGTTCAACATTTGCCGTAAACAGATCAAGGAGACCTATATTTTGCGGCTCTTAATTATGAATCTGATTGTGCTACATTGCTGTCCAAGTGTGCAACGCACAGATTTGTGCAACGTATCCCAACCTTTTGGACACTCAACACAAAGCCGGAGCATCGGTACCATCCTGCTTTGAAGTCTGGAGACCGCTGCTTGCAAACAGTTTCTCTCTAAACCTCTCCTGCTTCAAAGCACCCACTTCCCGCTCCAAGGACTATCCCTGCGGCAGCCCATCGTATCTCCTTGGTCGGTCAGCCTTCCAAATCCCCCGCCAGCCAATCCAACCTACCAGGGCAAGAGGCGGGAGGCTTTCTTAGGCCTGGAGAGTTTAGCAAAGAGCCTTCCGCGCCCTGTCTGGAACGGTTACATGATGCAATCTCCCCTCGCAGGCCGAAAGGCAAGCTTTTGGGCAGACCCCATCTTGCTTTCCGTCCACCGCTCAGGGACTCAGAGCCACAAGCGGGCAGCCTTCGACCTGGGGGTCTTGTCAGGCATTCAGAAGTAAGGCACCCGGCCGCGGCCGTCCAAGGCCGCCTTTTGTCTCCGGGCTGGAAGGCTCCCGGGCAGCAACTCCCTCCTTCCTTGCTCGGCCGTGACTTGAGGGAGCGGACGCGCTGAGGTCGGAGCGCGCGAGCCCTTACCTGGTGTCTGTTTCGCGCCGCTGCCGAGGCAAAAAATGGAATAAAGGCAACGCCGGGGCTCCCCGCCTCAGCAATCTCACCCAGGGTCGGGGAGCGGGACCAAGCGGGTCCCCCCACCCCGAGTGAAAGCTGCATGAGCCAATGGGCAAGCAAAATTGAGGGAGGGGCGGGGCCGAGAGAACAAAGGAGGGAGGGGGCAATCCTGAAGAAAAACTGGTGGTGGGTCTTCGGTACAGCCCTTCTCCATCCACACGGAGCCTGGATACGCCCTCCAAGCGCTAGACGTTGCCTGGGATGCGGCCGCCGCGCCGCGCCCCCTCCCCAAGGCGAAGGGGGGCTCCCAACCCCTACAACGGGCCCAGGAAGCCGGGAGCGAGACGTAAGCATGGCTCCTAAACTCAGGAAGTCCTGGTGTCTCCAGTGGTTTTCGCCTAGTTAGAAGCTGCTGCAGCTGCCTTGACTTGCAGCATGATCCGAAACCGAGATGGGAGCCAGAAAGTCAACCAGAGTATATATATATATATATATGTTGAGAGAAGAGGTTGCCTTTCAGTCTTGCTGCTGAGATGACAGAAGCAACGTAAAAACAGTGAAAGTATTCCAGCACTGATGGCCGCATCTCTATTTGTCCAAAGCTTCCAAAATTGTCCTCAGATGGGGGGGGGGGTTACGTATCTGTCCCCTTTCACCTACACAATGTATCAAATCCCTCCTTGATTTAAATGGGTCTCCTTTCTACACAACTTTGCCAACCAGACATTGCTGCAAGATTGTTTATTACGTGAGATGGAAAAAGAATCACAGGAGGAAAAGTTGGAGGAAGGGAACAAAAGAACAAAGAAGTTGAAAGGCACCTGTGCATTGCGTGGCAGGAAAAGACAGAGACGGTGAATTCTGAAGCATCTTGATGACAGAAGTGCATAGCTTTCAATACGGGGAAACTCCAGGCAGTAATATAGACAAATGTTTTCTCTTCTCTTCTGACTTCTGCCTGATCCAATGCCGTGATGAAAGCATCTCTCCTTGAGGGAGAGCGTGGTAAGCACCCCTAATTGGCCAGCAGTCCTGAATCCATCTGTGAGCACATGTTTACCCCTTATGCATTGTGCACATCTTAGCATGTGATAAACCTATGGGTCCTTTTTAAACCTAATCTCTGATACTACAAACTGCCACTGTTGATCTGGAGGTGTTCTTCCATCTGCATGAGTCTGATCCTAGAATGCAATAAAAGCTTATGGGTGAACTTATTCTGCCTGTTTTGATCCTGAGCGTTGAGTTGAGAGTGGTGACACCTGCTATTCTTCTTTGAGCAGTTATTGCTCATATGTGCTACTGGTAAGTTCTTGTAGAGAGGTGGTCATGCAACCAGCAATGGGTTGTTTTCTGACCAAATACTGTACATACCTCTTACACATAGCTGCATCTAGGTGGGGAAGAGTTGCACTCCCTTTGTCCATCCCTAGAACCTATTTGGCTATTTTCAAAGTGCATCCATGCAATTCATGGCTGTTAAAATAACTGCTTCATGTCTTCTCCAGGTGGGTCAACAGAACACATTGTCAGAGTATATAATTGTATGTCAGTTGCTTTATACACTTTGCTTGATTACAATACTTACAAGCTGGCAACCCTCAGATATATTAACCACCAGGAATGTCTTGGAGTGCAAACAGTTTATATGTACAATTCAGAATTACGTTCCTGACAGAAGTGCACCTTCTGCCCTGAGTTGAATTGTATTTCATGCTTACACAGTATGCACCACACGCTTTCATACAACACCTTTTTAACTTGCTTGCCCAATTTCTTACCTTTCAATCCTTGCCTCTGACTGGCACTAAATACTTCTCCTTCCCTCTCCCTCTTTGTTTTGGCCCTACAGAAGCACACTAATATCAGGCTAGGTGGGAGAATGAGTAGTTCAACATCACCCTTTCACTTTCTGTATCAAAAGGAGGAGGATATTTCAGGTCTTTTGATTCCTGCTTTTAGTACCGTAACCACAACTAGTCTGATGCAGCATAAAGGGTGGGAAGTGTACAAACTGGGACACACAAAGCCATGAGAACAGGACATGAGGGAGACAGGTCAGCCAAACACAACACTGCCCCCCCCCCAATGTGATCTCCCTCTAGCCACACACATCTTTCCCATGTCAAGGGCTGGTGTTTAAGTTACAGCCTCCCTGTCATGTTTTGTCCACTCCAGGAACATCTGCAAGAAGAACTCAGAAGAAGAAGTTCATCTGCAAGAAGAACTCAGTTTCCTGTGTCTGCCAGATGTGACCCAACCCTAGCAGCCAGTGTCCTTGGGAACTTCACAGCAGGATAATTGTTGGTCTCTGATTAAATTGGCTGACAAAGGGTCACAGCGACCCCTGGTGAAAGCCTTTTGTAACTAGTAAAGATTAAAAAAAGGATTGGAAGGGATTTATACAAATCATTGTCTTATTTATCAAAAAATGTGAACTCCCATGTTTTTAAAGATGAAATCATTGGGAGGGGTTCTGTCTAATTGGATAGTCCATACATTTCTGAATTTATTGGTCCAGCATCGCAAAATGTTTGAGCTACAGTGCTCTAATGAAATCAGCAAACATTGCCAGCAAACATTCTTTTTGTGGGATGCAAGTTGGCTGATAAACTTTTAAATGTCTCAAGGATGTTTCTCGTAAGCACAAAGAAAATTGAGTAGGTTGAGTTCGGGATCACAAAACAGTTCACAAGTATAGCTGTTATATTATTCTTACTTTCCTTCCTTTAACCATACCAACATCCTGTCTTAAATTATACTAGTAACACATATTTGGGAAAGAATAATCCTTTAAATAAGTAAGGATTTGGAACTGCCAACCAATAATTTATGAGCCCAAAATCTCTTGAGTAAAAATAATAAATTGTTAATATATCCTTATTGTATTGTCGTAAAAGTAGTTTTACTTCAACTGCTACATGGTGCCCAATTTAGGCCCATGTAACTCCTTTGGCCCCCTAGAAAAGGTTAAGACCAATTTTCTCAGGAACATATTGTGTCTTATCCCGTATTCTTTAGAAGTTGTGGGTTCTCCATCACTGTAGAGATTGGACAGCCATTTGTCAGAAATAGTAGGGTCTCCTTCTTGAGTGTGGGGTTGGGTAGAACAGAGGTTGCCAATCAATCTCACCCCCAAAGCAATTAATCCAGGCTGTGCAGAAACACAAGGCTGCACCACCCACATGGCCTGCGGGAACCCTTCCCGGCAAACTTGCCTACTAAAGTGCTATTTTTCCTTTTTCCGACCATCATCTGTTCTGCTGTGCCGGGAGATTTAGATTAGCTAGGAAGCAGGAAATAGTTGGATTTACATACATGGCGTGTTGTGAGTTAATTTTGTAAATTTGCTTGCAAGCAAATTTTATGTGACAGACTGAGCTAGTCGATGGCAGATAGATCTCTGAATGTATTTGTGATTCTGTGAGCAACTCAATCTGCCTGCTTGCTTTGCCTGATTTTGGGTAAAAGTTGCTCTTTTTTATAAAAAAAATCAATATTTATATAAATATTTATAATATTTATATACAAGCCATGCCCAGCCAGCCACATGACCACCAAGCCACACCCATAAATTAGGCCACGCCCACAGAACCAGTTAGTGGTCCCTGGGATCTAAAATTATGAGTTTGGTGGTCCCTGAGGTCCAAAAGGTTGGCGATCCCTGGGATAGAAGGGCTAAATCTCTTCATTGCTGGTCCATTGAGAAGGGAATTGATCAGTTAAACCAAGGCATCTATTAATAATTTTATTCCATAGAGTGATTAAAGGCCAGTATAATCTGATAGGTACAAGGGCAAGCATTGTTGTTTACCTATATAGACAATAAAGCATACATCCACTTGATTGAACAGTGGCTGCTTATGTCCCTATCTGATGTTGTGGTCCCCACACAATTAAAAGTACTTTTGCTAGGCCAACTGGAAGTTGCAGTGGATTGAGGATATGAAAATCCAAAATGAGCTAAGACAGAGAAGGGTTTACTGGTCCTTAACAAATCCCCTAAAATAATTGCCTGCAGACTCTCTATACTCATTTATTTCAAATTTCTTTGGGCATTCACCATAGCCTGTTTCAATGTTGTTTCCTCTGTAATTTTAGAGGGTAGCTATAATTATGCATCAGCACCTCAAAGAATATGTTCTTGTAAAATGGGGAAGTTTAAACAATTCAACATGGTCTTTTAAGCTAAGTTGGATAAGATTAATTCAGCTCTATTTAAAAGTTGACAAGGTCACTATGACGGATTTTATATCCATTATCTGTTAGATGACATATGCAGTTGCACAATTATTTCATAATGTGGATTTCCATTCACCTAAACTAGCAGGGTGCAAATTCCCTATAATATTTTACACAGATGATTCCGCCATAATTTCATAAATCCCCGTATGGCTGAAAAAAGCAATAGCAGTAATATATTTTGATATTGCAGGCAAAATCACCTGGTTCTTTTGATAAATCTAAAATTCTGGTCTTTGTTAAGAGAGCTACTCGACTGTCCTGAAGAGCGGAAGGACACAAATTAGAGCAGATTACTGCATACTACCTTGGGATGGTATTCTATTCTAAAAGGCACCTGGAAAATGCTCCAGAATGATGTAGTGCACCTAGCTCTTAGGATTACAAGTGCTACTAATTGCTTCCTTTATACAAGCAGAGGACAATTAATCCCAGTGGTATTAAAACATTTTGAGGCCAAACCACCAGCCCAAATTCTTTATGGGGCACAAGCAGGAATTTGTGTGAAGAAGAATGCACTGGAAACAGTACAGAAACATTTTCAGTTCAAACTTTTCTGCACCCAATGGAACAGCAAATGTGCAGTTAAGGCTCGACACAATAATGCCTCCAATATGGCTAAGGACTGGGAAGAGGATTACCAAGTACTGCCTGAAAATCCAATTCTTCCCAGTTGGACTGGCCCTTTTAGCTTTAATAAAAAAAAATATAACCCTGAAAACAAGCTATAGAACAGAAGTTGGCC